CCCCCCCTCCCGGCGCTCCCTGCTGCGCTGGGGGAAGGGGCGTCTCGGCAGGTAGCCGCGCCGGCCGGGAGCGCTCGGCCTGGCGAACTCGGTACACTGCGCGGGAATTGCCCGGGCTCTCCCTGGGCTCCCTGCCCTGCGGGGCCTGCTGGGGGCCGGGCCCACGGGCTGACCCAGTCAGAGGTTCAGGGCTTGGGACAAGGAGACCCCTGAACGGCGCCTGACCCCCCCGAGCCGCAGTCGGCCTGAGACACCCCCCATGCGCCCTGAGCAGCCTGGTGCTCTTCCCGCCCCATCCCCACCCCGACCCCCCAGCTCCTCTGGCGCGGGCCGGGCAGGCAGGGCTGCTGCGTTCCAACAGGTTTATTGAGGCGCGGTCGCTGGGTCGGCCTGGCCCAGGGCTCTTGTCGCAGGGCCGGGGGGCGTCTCACCAGGGAAGAACTTTCCCTTCCCAGCTGACAAAGGCCCCGTTGTCCTTCTCGGAGAGCGTGGGCAGCACCTCCAGGATCTCGCGGACGCTCGCGTCCACCGCCAGGGGGGCCTGCAGGGGAGAAGGAGAGTGAGGGGGGAGCCTGCCCAGGGCTGACCCAGGGCGCCAAGAGCCGGGGTGGGGCAGGCCAGGGTCTTCCTTAGGGCCAGCCCAGGTCACTGTTACCCGATAGTGGGTGGGGACCTGGGGCAGGATTCCCCTGCGGGTACCTTGCTGACATTTCGCTTTGTGATGCCAGAAGCAGGCGGAACCAAGGATCTGGGGGTGACAGTGGATGAGAAGCTGGAGATGAGTCAACAGGGGGCCCTTGTAGCCAAGAAGGCTAATGGCATATTAGGCGACAGCTCCCCACGGTCACCAGATAACGAGACAGATCTCGAGATGGGTAGAGAAAACTGAAGTCACCCCATTGTGTCTGGCAAGAAACTGCTTCTCCACAGTTAGGTTGTGGAATCCTCATCCTATGGCTAAGTGGCCTCACTTTCCTATTGTTTGTAACTGTTCCTGTCTGCTGGATAATTAATGTTGCTGGGTGTAAATCGATTAAGGTGGTGGGGTGTGATTGGTTAGGTACTTCTGTTCTGATTGGTTAGTAAAATTATACTTGTCCCGCTCCCGGCGCTGCAGGGAGAACCAGCCCTGGCCGATGCATTCAGCTCACCAGCAGCCTGACTGGTAAGCTCCCTCCTGACCCCACTGCCTCTGCCTGGGCCAGCACCCCAGAACGCTTGAGACCCCCCCAAAAGCTGATGGCAAGGAGTTCCAAGGGATCTCACAAAACTGGGCGACCAGGCAAAGCAAGGGCAGATGGAATTCCAGCTACATACAGAACAGATGGGGCTAAAACAGCTGTTACCACGCAAGACAAGATCCTGGAATCCTGGTGGTAAGTTCCCTGGAAACATCCACTCCATGGGAGGGTGTAGTCAGACAGGAACCCCCTTGTAACATCCATTTTTGTTTGCCTGGAGCATACAGGGCACACAGAGCAGAAGGCCCAGGCTGTGTGACCGTGAATGGCTGTAAACAGAGATATGCCAATTGCTGACCAAGAGGCTGCCAAGGAGTGTCCTTGACTTAACCCATATTGATACGAACACACAGCCATCCGCGGGGGGAGGAATCTCTCACCCAGCACTCACAATTTAGTTATCTCTCTTGCAAGTATAAATTAACTTGAAACTTGCTTGTAAGAACTGGCGCCACAAAATGGATCAGTAGAATTTGGCCTCTTAGATAAGAAAGAGGATACGGGCCCTCAGGGGTATAAAGATGGGTCCAGAAGCACATTTTCTCTGAGTGTCAATCTACCATCTATCTGCTGGTCGGGTTAGGTGTTTGATCTCCCGAGGTTCCAGAGGGGACGCCCACCTCGTATTCGTCTTTCCTAGGAATTGAGAGACCGGCCCTGGCCTGACACGCTGGAGTCGAGAGGCACAGAAAGGGGTAAAAATTGTACCTGGATGTGGTCCTTTGTTTAAGTATATATATACATAGAGTGTTAGAGCTCTTTAAAGA